GGGGGGGGTTTTTTTTGGCAGGCACATTGCAGAAAAAAAAGTCAAATACCCTTTAATGGAGTGTTACTTGCCTCTGCTTGAAGGCTTTGGTGCACTTAAAGAGGAATTCTAAATCTAACTGCAGTGTTTTTTACATTTTGATTTAAGGAGCATTCATCTATCTCTTTAGAGATAATGCATCTCTAATWCAGAAGACTGCTTTAACTTCCTGGCATTTATTTGAGGATTAAATATTTTAAGGCAGACATAATTGAAAAGTAATCTCTTCTCTAAAATTGCTCTGAGCTTTTTTTTTTTTTTAAGTATTCTGTGGCTAAGGACATTTTCATTAAGGTCAATGTTACTAGTTATAGAAGCAATAGAAAAGTAAGCTTGGATGTCTTCTCCCTGCCTATAAAAAATCAAGTTGCTGCCATGCAGGCAGCTTGTAATAAGCCAATTTTTTTAAAATAGAACACTGAATATTCATTTTATTTGGATCTAGATTAATAAATACTCATATATGATTTTATTCTTTGCTTCAAAAGATTATACAAGTGTTAAATGCTAGCCAAGTCTGTTGCTGTTTTGGGGAAAGGGTTTAATTTTTCTACCTAAAAAATCACTTAAAGTGTGATTCTTGAGCGCTTCAGCTAACTTCATCTGGTATATTATTATTATTTAATAATAAATCCCTTACAATAATTTTGTTGTCACARCCAGCTTCCAGCTGGAATTATTTCTCTCTTGTTTCTTCCCAATGGCAAAGATTCAGCCAAGCTGGGAGTGCCTGTCCCAGAGCTCCATCCCAAGTCTGCTGAGGGCATCCCTCAGTGAACATTCTTGGTGCTGCTGTTTCAGCAGATGCTGCTTTGTTGGGATGAGAAGCTGTGGGTGAAATCCACAGTGTCCCATCAAAGTTCTCAACYGATCTGCTCAGGTCATTGCAATTTGCAGGGTAGATGTGGAAACCTCACTTGGAATGTGGATTTATCCCTGTAAAATGAACCTCCCATTCCTTAGTCACCACACAAACATGCTCATCTTGTCGGAAATACCTTTTTTAAATGTTGCCTGGGAGAATAGAAAATAAAAATACAGATTGGCTGAAGTGCCTCTGTAGGGTGTGCCCTGTGTAATTCTCCCTGTGGCAGCATTGCAGCTGTAATTGTGGGTAATTGGTGGAAGAAACACTGCATTTGGGCGCATTTTTTTTTGTTCTTGTGGGCTCACAGAAATGCTGAAAGTCTTGTTGGTCTTATTTTTTCTGTCCCCTGCCCCCCAATACAATTAAGTGCTCAAAAGTCCTCTGCTAGTTTGCAGKGTGTTCTTCAGTTTTTATTTTCATTCCACTCACCTCCCTGCCATGGTTATGATATTTAAGAACAAGCAGTGAGATTTCAGGAAGTATTTCTGTCTTCCCCAACTTTTCCACATCAACTTCTAGTTCCTAGGACAACTAAGTGTTATGGCTGAAGGTTTCTGTCACAGCTGGTAAGTGGAAACAGGGTTTTCAAACTACTTGATGCCAAAGCTGAATGTGAAAATTGGTATAAATATGTGTGTGTTGATCACCCTGACTTTYATCTCTTGTCCCTATTTTTTCCAGATATTTTGCAAGGGAAGGGAATTTGTGATGTCTTTGGAATGTGGAGCTAAGAAACGGCATCACAACCCAGTGAAGAGCATCTGCAGGAAGATCCAGTCTATCCAAATGATGGACCAAGTCTCCAACCCAGCCTTGCAGATCCCAAAATTTCAGTCCCGGAACTTTGACAGTCCACAGAGCAATGTTAAAAAAAATCTGGAAGAAATACTGAAAGGGAGAACTTGCAGAAACCGGGATAGTACTTTTTCCCCCTCAGCCACGCCTGACAGTGACAATGTTTTCTCTGCTAACTCACCTTGTCTCGGGGCCACCTCTGACTCCCACTCTGCAAATGCCACCTTTTCAATCCTTAAAAGCAGTGAGAGATCTGGCAGCCCATGGAGGTCTGAGTGCCCCATGGATAACTCTTCTCCATACTGCTTTGGATCCAGGGAGGCCAATGCCCAGGACAAGCTGTGTGCTTTATCACACGCTGAACCTAAAGATGTGCGCCCCAAGCAGAAGTATCTTACATCAAGTCCAAATTTATATTTCTTCACATCTGATAAAAAGCCAGAAAGTGCTGTGGTCCAACCTCCTGTGCAAAAGGCATTTCCTTCCAGTGAAAGAGGTAAAAATCCTRAAGCAGAACACCTCCTAATTCAAAATCCTAGACATCGGAACATTCAGTCTACACAGATGACATTTATTTACCACTTAAACGACACATTTTAGTAACACACAAATCTTGTAAGACTGTAAAAAGAGCTGAGGCAAACCTTAAATTCTCTCTAAAAAATATTAATGTGCGTGTAAAAAGTGAGGAAGTAATAAGGAACAAACTTTTTTGAATTTGTTAATTTGTTTTTGATTTAAGACATAATGACATTTTTAACAGTTTAAGATATTAATTTAGACTTCCACTAGCCAGTGTTTTATAACCAGATTT